TTAAATTCCTTCTCAGACGACGGACGATAAAGGGAAGCATCTTTAAGGTGCTTTTCCGTTATCTCAANATCTAACTGATGGGGATTTACAACGAACTCTCCACCCTTATCACTAACCGATAGTCTTATGTTTTTTGATCTTATCAGCTCTCGTACCTCCCGCATACCACGTTTTTGTATTTCAGTGAGGTTGGAGCAGTATCTCTTGGCGTGATAGTGATTAAGGACTTTGAAAGTTTCATTCGTAAGCATTCGAAATTTAACATCGACTTCATTAATGGGCTCTTGTTGTCTAAAGAACGGTTGGGGAAATGGTGGCACTGATATTGCCACTACTTTTTGTTGTTCTCGCCTACTTAGCGCTTCATCCCTAGCTTTTTTTGCAAAGTCTATCTTGAAGTTTATGTAAACTACATGCGACCCTACGCAAGGTCACCTTAGAACTGGGTTCAGATGGTGGGAAACTCGATCCCAATTTTAATAACGAGCACGCACCGTCAGAGAGGGTCATGCCTCCTAGCAATCTTAACCTTGAAATTCTTTGCACTATTTATCCTACTGTGACTCGTTTGATCCTCGTTGGCGGTGTTTCTGTTTGCCCTTGAAGCCGTGCTATGCGATTTACTCAAGAGGTCTTCGAATTTTTTCCGCAAAGTCACTTTAGCATTAGACGTAATAGAGCTGCAAATCAACACTGACCTACCCACTATTATCCTCCAGAGACGGTTCTCCAAAAACTGAGCACTAAAGTTTTCCGTCTCGCACTTCTTGCACTTGGCGAACATCTGGTTTTGTCGGCTTCGTAGGCAGGTGCATAGTATTCGTAATTCGATGTGCAGTACTCGGTGACTGTCCTCTGCTAATCCGCATACGTCTTCTAGAACAAGGAATTTGGGGGTGCCTTCCTTCGACGGAATTTGGGCAAGCATTCGACATGTGCATCTATATATATATATATATATATATATAAGCAAGTTATATAACAATTGATTAAATAGCACTGCCCATGTTCTGAAGTAGATTTTACACATGGAATTTCGACTTTGTGTATTGAAAAGTAGCTCCTGACTCTCCTCTTGGATTTTAATATGCTTCAAACTCGTTTAAACTTTGTCCCCATCAACTGTAACCTTTTCACAGTATCGTTTCTTTTGTTTCCTGTATGTTGCCCGTTATAAATGGCCATAGTGACCCTCAATCCGCATAGTACAACACTGGTTCATGAAGTCTCCGCCTTCTAGAACAAGGAATTTGGGGGTGCTTTCATTCGACATGTGCACGCATCTTTTGTGGTTGCACCCTGAGCATTCGGTAGATGGTATTCGTGTACTGCGCCATTTTCCATACCTTACTTACTTTTTAAAGTTTCTGAAAATGAACAAGGTAGATTTGCTTATTCTCCAGATTCAATGAATCGTAGAGAACCCAAATGAATACTCTTCTTATGAAGTTTGACAATACTGCACTTTAGTACCACTGTTTCTGGAGTAACTAGCAGTGCCAACTGTTTGGCCAGCAATAGAGAAAAGTTAAAATTGGGCTTAGAATTATCACAAACGAATGCTTATGTCAAACTTTTCGGATGGTCTCACAGGTTCCGCGTTCTATTTGCGGCGTGCAGATCATCTCCTTTCTCGTCCAATATTACCGGTGTTTCGTGCAATGATACTGATAAATTTGTTCAAGCTAACTAGCTATGTGCACATCTTTGTTAATTAATTCCTGAAAAGTTGCATTGCATCATGGGCTCTCCATTACCGTACCTCCTCCAAATAGAGTGAAATATATCTCTATCTTTTCTTTCTGTTTGTCACCGTAATAAATAAGAAGAAATATGCTTCAGTTTCTTGATGGACGAGATTTCCGTCTTTAACGATCAGTTATGGAATTTATGATATCTATAACTGAAATATTTTCAAGCACTTTAAATGAGAGTAACCAGCTCAGCGTACGTAATCCACTACTACACGAAAATTAAAACAACAACCTGTTTTTGCTAGGTCAACAGCCATTCCTTTCTGGCAACCATAAAATGGAATTCAATCATTTTTTTTATAAGCCACTAACAAACGAAGAGCAAATGAGACATTTAAAACATGGCTGCAAACTCATTTCATGCGGTAGAAGCATCTACTTGTATTGGAACATATCGCACAACCATTGGTTTTTTCTTCTATTCTGTCAGCATTGCTTAATGGTGTAGTTTCCCCACTTTGCCGTTTTGGATAACTACGTTTTTTTTTTTTAAAACCCCACTCGTTATAAGTTAACTGCTTTCGGATTAAGGTACGCTCTCCTCAGCTTGAGAGATCGTGATCCGGCGCCAAGGAAAAGTAGGCCAGCCAATAACCACACCCTGCTCGGCAAGGTATCTGTGATCAGATTTTCGGCAATAGTAGCGAAAAAGACCTTACGCAAAATGTGTCGTGGTTTTCGTGCTTCTTCAGCATGGTAAAAAGAATGAGTAGCTTTGATGCGTTTTGGCGGTTAATGAGACCTCTTCTAGTGCCTATTCCACTCACTCGGAGATTTAAAATGTTTACAGATCCTTTGTCAACCCAGTAATTTCCTTGGGGGAAATTACTTAGTCCTATGAACAGCGTTTTCTAAAAATTTTCTAGATGTCTCCTTTTCTCCAGTTCTGATAAAGCGTTCATGTTTTTCTATGCGAATGGAGAAAATAAATTTTATCGTCTGTAACGACGTAGAACACAGCGTTCGGTGCTGTTACTTTTGAGAAAGTGGCTCCACTGTACAATCATACGCAATGATTTTCGCAATGTTTAACCTTGTAGTGTGGTTTATTCTAAAATTTCATGTAGTCGGCTACAGCTTTTAATCCACCTTTATTAAGAAAATCTGTTGTTCCTCAACCGCAGCAAACAGCAACGTTTCAAAGTTTTCCGCCTTTATACTTCTTGCAGTTCCGAAGCCGACATCATTTTTCACGTGGGATGAGACACTGTTCTATGTTATGTCCCAAATGTTCACTGCGAATCAGGCGATCCTTCGAGACAAAGTCGTAGTTTGTACGAAAAATGGAGTCAAATCGTTTTATAATGGATTATATCCAGATATTATAAAAAATTGAGATTTCCTTGCATTATCAAGCTAACAGGGACGGGTGGTACAGTGATAGTGATGTCGGTGACCGCGAATACGAAGATTCTAAACGAATGATCTGGACCGCAACCCAACTGCGTTCATAACAAGGACGAAAATTTTTAAGCAGCAGCAAAGCCCACAAGTAAAAAGTTTGGAAACCTTCGTGTATGATCGATGCGAGAGGACGAATAGTACACTAGAAGTGCTGGAATTCCCACAGCGGACGTGAAGATGTAGACGTGGACGGGTCAAGTATTTAAGAAAAATCAAACCAAGACAAGTTTTCTGCATAGCTGTCATTCAGATAACTCTTCAGGCTCTTCGTATTCTTCAGAGCCAGATTGATTCGGTTTCATGGTCTAGAGTCTGTCGTTTTAGTGTTGATTCGAATCCGTTGAAGTGTGGCCCCAAACCAACGAAGTGTCCTTGTTCGGCGGTGTCCATTCGGGGTGGACGTTTTCCTGCCATCCAATAACTTTTCCTGATCTTCTTTTATTACAGCAATGTATCCTGCAAAAGTTGGTGGTATAGATGAGCTGGCATATGGCGTTGCAGTATTTTTAAATTTAAAAAAAGAAGAAGAAATGAATATGAATGGGAAAAAATTTTTTCCTACATGAAAACATTTCAAAACGGGTGTGGTATCCAATAAGTTAAGGATTCTTGCAAGGGTACCTCTATGGTTTTTCTTTGCTAAGTCCTTCATACGCTTATATTTGCATTTAAACAAGTGCCCAGTGATTTATATCGTAACGAAAAGTGAACGCGAAGTGTGGGTTCCTCGAAATGGCATTGCTCATAATTAGATTTTGCTGCTTAATGCAACCCTCTTAGTAATGGTGTTAAAAATTGCGAAGGTCCTAAAACGTAAAGAAAAAATAAAGAACAATCTTCGAGAACACCAATCAACCGCTTTCCTCCATTCTTTCCACTGCAATATTCATAACCTTCTCAAGCTAATCACTTTCTCGAAGCATGGAACAGTTGTGTCAAATGCTAGCTCTCTTGAGATCGATTGTTATTACAATTTTATTGAAGGAAGAAAAGATTACTTTAGTAAGGAAAGGTACGAAAAGCTTATTTTACATAAACAGGTATTAGAATAATTGATGTTCAGTGTTGTTAGGTGAATTTTCGATAGTTCAGTGGTTAATCTGAATGATGAAGTCTGATTTAGTGAATTAAACGATATTTGAAAAAAAACGTGAACTTTTCTCACTCTGCAACAACTTTTTAAGACAATCGTTTTGCAGAATTTTAAGCAAAGTACTTTGCACTGCTAAATTTTCTGTTTTGCACCTGGGCCACCGAGGAGAACGTGTGACCTAGGAAACATTCGTATTAATTTAATACAATGTTGGTTAAAATATCACACCTGCTTCTCATTTCCCTCTACACCTATTATTTCTAGTCGTTGCAATTGAAGAGGCCAAACCACATCCTGTTCTTCACCGATTTTTGCTTTTCTTTTTAAAATATCTTTTCTTTCTGGATACAATATTTGTGTGCGTGTCCGTGCGTGCGTATGCGTGTGCGAAGGGATGTCTATGTGTGCGTGTCGGTAAGCATGTACCGGTGTGTGTATGTTATATGTCTCATACATCCAAGTGTGTATTTATTAATGTTGCATATTTTTGTACAAATTTGAGTATTTACATGTGTATGTTATTGTGTGTGTGCATATAGACATATACTTGGAAATCGTATTAGTGTCCTTATTCGAAATAGTAAACACCACAAAAATTTGTACAGACAAATTCTCGCGTTTTCCGAATTCTCTATTTTTATGTAAGCAAAGCCGTATTGTATCCAAGGTCTAAATTTTGCTTTCACTGAGGTGCTTAAATTGTAGAAATTCAGCTTTTCTCTGGATACTTCACCGGTTATTTACTAGTGATGAAGAACTTGACAACGCTGAGTCCACCAATGTCATCGTCGGCGGCCATGTTGCACGTCTGCAACACTGTCGATGACTATTTCCTTGTGCCACGAATCTGGCTGGCTGTCGTCGTTGGCGTTACCATCTCCATCGTCTCCATACTCTTTAACATCTTCATATTCGTGGTCTTTGTGACCAGTAAGCAACACAGGTTTGCTTTATTCGTTAGGAATGAAACCATAAAAACATATGCGACAAGATTCTCCTTGACTATGAAACGGCTGGAGAAATAAATATGGGAAGGAAGTATGATGCAAAATGTTATCGTATTTCATTAAAATGTCTCATACTTTCGTACATATTTGCAATGTTAGTAAACCAAAGAGATTTTTAAGAAGCACAAGATATTTATGTAAACACCGTTGAAAAAAAAATCCTGACTTGAGCTATGGCTCCTTTTTTGCCGGGTCAGAGTTGGGACAGCCAGCATGTCATAGGCAGCATTTTACTGTGGTAGTAAAGATGGAATTCTTTCTTCCTTATCGAAGAAGTCGTGAAGCTTTTTGTGCTCTCAAATTGCGTAGAAAATTAGAGTCTTGCCTACTATTACACCATTTGGAGTCTTTTTTTGGAGCTCGGCTCTGTCGACGAGTTACCATTGTGCTACGCTTTGCCACTGAAGGTGCGTGGATTTTCAGAAGATAAATCACTCAATAAAATAGTCATTAGGTATGAATAGAAACCTCTCGTTATCCTTGAATACTTGTGTGACCAATTTTTCATTGCTTCCTACATGTCCCGATGTTTATCGAACCGGAAATCCGACTATAGTAGGAAATACGTGTGAAATTGAGCTGAAATGTTTAATAAAGTAAAGCAAGCTAAAGTAAATAATGCATAAAGAGTGAATGCATGCCTCAATTCACCTAAGTGGCTTACGATCGGGATGACTTGCAGAAGCAATATTCCCACAACGTAGTTATCTGAAAGCCGTTCCAATTTCTGTTTTTGTTTTATTTTTCTCCAGTTATTTCATTCGAAGAGATGATGAGCTCGAGCGCCACGGAACTATTGTAGAGAGGCCTGTGTTTTACACATTGGTGAATGCTTCTGTTTCCTATCTACTTCCACGATTAATGCATAGATCACAGATAAGTAATAGAGGCCAAACATTTCTTTAACTCGATCGCAGTTTTTTCTTGACAACCGCATCGCTGCAATGAAAGGGCTTCTCAGTTTTGTTAGAACAACAACACATTTAGTGAAGAAGACTGAAAGCACTTTCTAGTCTCACTTAGTTCATTTCACTTTTGCCAAGCAGAGAACTTCACTGAGTGTTTTTGCGGGTGACAAATCCCAGTAGGAACATTCGCAGCTTTCACAAACATGAGTGGAAAGCACTTCTTAAAGTGCTACATCAGAAAAAAAACATAGAAATTGACATTTATTAATTTCGTGGTGCTTTGTATGATGGACTAAGCAGCGAAATGAACAAATTTCGTACTTTTAAGTATATATGTATACATATATATATGGATGCATATCTATGTCTACACACGGCACTTTGATACATAGATGTTTGAATACCTACCTACAAATAAACATACATATATACATACATTCGCACGCACTCGCATACAACTACTTACATGAATGTATACATATCCTATATATGTACGTGTATTTTTTTAACACCGCTCAACAGATTACTTTATCATGCCTGGGAGGTGTTTCTGGGTGTCTGGCAGCGATGTAAAGTGGAGAGATTCATCCACCTGGTAGGGCCTCCCAAGATGAGGAGTCCGAAGTTTCTAACCGGAAGCTCAACTAAGAGTAACCCAGTACCAGGATCCACCACCGTCCTAGTATCAAAGTCGCATGGTGACAAATATCCCTGTGATCCACAAAGACTGCGACTGCCTCTGGTGGTGAAGACCAGGAGCAAACTTCGACCAGGATGACCTCGAAATTCCAGGGAACCGCGGTGGCTTAATCAGCAAATCTGCGAAAAATCGTGTTTATGCTGAGGGCCACACCCCAATCAAGCCCGGGCATCCAAATATACAAATAAGTAGGTATTTTTCTACAATTGTTATTTTATACGTCCCGCCATCACGCCTACTTTGCGGACCAAAGCAATTCTTGCATTTCCTCGCACTCATCGTCCACAGTGGTCCTCGAACACTCTATGTGTTATTTTAGCTGCTGCTTCCTGGATTTCATCTTCTTCATGTGGAAGAACGCTGGTTGAGTTATTTCTCCTTGCAATCCAAGCGGCGCCTTTGTTTCCTGATCGACTGCATCATTCACCACTGCTCTGCTCCTGGTTCCATGTACCATACTCCGTGTTTCTGTATATATATATATATATATATATATATATATTGCCGATATATACAATAGAAAGCTTTAAAAATAAAAGAATTGAACACATAAAGGTTGAAAAGAATTGTTTCTCGGCTATGATAGGGTGGTTCTGTCGCCTAGAGTGGGACACTCGAATCTTTTCGTCTCCAGTTCTTTTTACTGTTTGATAAAATACGAAATGTTAGACATTAAATAACCGGATAAAACTTTTCATGGTCAAATTAAATGTTTTCGCAGTTCTTTGTAATAATGTTTATTTCTAAAAATAACGTTTCCATACTTGAGTAGTTTCTTGATTTCGACTGCTTCTTCAGCTTAAAAGGATTGAATGCCGATTTATTCTCCCCAGCTTACTCCCTTCACGAGTGATTGCTGATAGCACCGTTAGAGTGAAAAAACTGGTTGAGTAAAATACAAAGCATAGCCATCTGCTGATGCAGTGGATGGCACGGGAACCACTAAAAGGGGTAATCGAGGCATTGAAGCACACCTAAGGTTCCAAGCTTTGCCCATATCTTGCTATCCTTTATGTTGAATAGTTTTTTTTTAGAAATTCATACAATCTCTACCTACTGCTGCTAGCACTGTTTGACGTCTTTATGGGGTTGTCGTATATAGCGGTGCTCTCTATCAAGGTTTTAATTAACTGGACTGCCAGCTATACTCTCAAGTCAATCTGGTAGGTCCTTTTTCTTTTTTTGCTTTCATTAAAAGAAAATGAAATATAATGAAACACAGAGCAGAAATTTTTAACACCCTCCCTAGATGAGCTGTGTACAACGATACCAAGTAGATTAGGAGGATTATAAAGGTCACTGCTTAACATTTTCTTTGGTGGAATACCTCACTGTGATGGGCACGTATTGCCGTTTGTAGAACTGCGATAAAAGATGCCTGATTCGAATCTGCAGAAGGTTCACCATGGCTATGAAAGAAAATGACTTCTCTACGCGGTAGCCTACTTAAAAATGATTGTATGCCACTGCAGAATTTGAAGAGATGCGCGTAGACACTCGCGGTAAAAGAGTAACGACACTACTTCGACAATGACATGACACTCTTTGCTTCGGCGGTGTGAGCAAAGGATGCTGTAAAGCCATGGGTCGCCAGGAATTGAATTTCCTCGTGTTTGTTATAGTCCAAGTTTAAAGGAGTTGCAGGTAACAAATGACTTGGCACTCTGTACTCGTTATGAAGCAGCTAGAGATCAGCATGACTAGGCAATCATCAACTACCAGATAATTCATACGAAGTAAAACACATTCTATTTTATATAGTTTCCTTAATCGCTCTTCCTTTATGGGAAAGTTAATGCAGTAGACACTTGTTCGTGAACAATCCATATAACTTTTAATTTTCATTTTTTCGATATTCGCATCCATGTCCTTTCTGAAATTCTCTTTGTCATTGGTCTACATTGTGCGATAAGACAATAACAGCAAAAACGGTAGAGTAAATAAGTGCAGAATAAAAAGACTTGTATATATGATGTGGGTCAGTTAAAAGGGGTTTTCTTGGCCCTAAAAATTAGTGGCGCCTTTTTTTAAACCTGGTCTGAGCTTAATGTTCTGAGAAGTTATTAGTGAAGATTTAATTGCAAGTTTCTTCCCACGTAGAGGGGTTTGAAAACGCCACTGGCTACATCACTTTGGCCCGTAATGAAAAGAAAGTGGACTTCACCAGAAAACCATTTGAGAGAAAACCGATATTGCAGTGATATTTGTTAACACGCGTGGTACTTAAACGGTAAAGCAACCTTTGAAAGAAATCAAAGGCGTCAAAATATCTGTGATAGCCCTCCATAGTTTATTCTTGATCTGACGTGTCACGGGACCACGTCAACTCAAAAGATAATGAACTACGGCACTGTCCAAAAGGGGCTATTTAAGCAATCCTGACGAAGAGCTTGTGGTACGCATTCTCGCCACAACTCTTGTCATTTTCGTTAGATTATTTATCGAAGTTGTAAACACGGCGGATTCCGCAAATGAATGCAACATAAGCAAGAACGTTTATAAATAGTCGTTCCATGTGAGTCTTCAAGATATTCCATTGAGCAACGATGCTTCTCAACCATGGGTTAAAATCTCAGAAATCCTCGTAATTTTATAAGACGCTCATCTTTTCACCATGCCGATCGATCAAAAAGTGCTTGAAGAAACCAAATAGTTACCCAGTGCTTGCTTTGATGGCCTATTGGTAACATACTTTGCAATACCACTGTTTTAAGGCAGAATTATTTTTATTTAACTTACATATCGGTCCAAATTCTTGTAAATAAGATGTTTCGTTATGGGTACGTGTAGCGCTGTGGTTAGAGCTGCCCTGCAATATAGACGTGATAATGGTCGATCCGGCGCTCCGAGCTCACCATGCTTTCCATCCGTCCGAGATCGGCAAATTGTATCAGATTTGTTTTAGAGGATACATTCTGGACTTGACACATGGGAAAGCCACCGCAAGTCGTTATAGAGGGCCAAAAGTGAATTTGGTCACCTCTAACAATACATGATGGGTTCCTGTGCATGTGTGTTTGAATGTTTAGGCGTTAATAACTTTTGAAACGTTTTCTATGCTTCGCGGAAAATCCTGTCGTTAAATGACAACACGAGAAAGATAGAAAATGAAGTTGGCTAAGAAACGCATGAAGTCTGCTGACTCATGAGTTTCACTCCAATCTCTTAGAGGGTGACCTTGCAAAGGAATCAACCATCCACATTTACATTGTTGTTCTTTCACATCAGCGATCATATATCACATCACATTAAGGCTCCAGACATCTTTGATGGGATGATGCCGAGCAAGTGATTTTTATACTAAAGACTGAGATGTGTGGGCAGAAAAGCGGGTAGAAGTGGTAGATCACCGTATACAACATTCTAGCATTGCCCACAAGGTCGAACGGCCAGTTCTTAACGAAGCATTATTCTAAGTTGTTCAATGAATTGCCGAAGGATCTTCGTTATTCCTGAAACATGCCATAAACATTAAGCAAGATCAACACAGGATCCAACCGCTAATCGAACGGCTTGCAAGGAGCCATGAAACAGACTTTAATCGTAAACGTGCTTGATTTCTCAGCAAGTAATCGTTTCCTGGCGATCGATTACGCTTCAGCAGTTTATATTTCAACCTGAACTGCCGCCGTGCACTAAAAAACGTCACAGCTGTCTAACGAGTGAGTAAAGCACAAATCTCAGTTCCAAATAAGTAGGATATTTACAAAATAACAAATTGTTCACATGTGCTCGGCATGTCGCTCCATTGTTTTCAACACGGCGGGAGCTTATACGACAAAGCCATAACAAAGTAGTGCGAAACGTAATCGCGGGACAAACAAATGCGAGGTATTTGGTGCGAAGTATTTTTGGCCAAAAAAGAAGTGGAAAACATTTATGTTGTCGATTTTTCTGTGTTCTTAAATTTCTTGTTAAGACTTTCACGACCAAACCTAATTTCACCTGACCATGCCTAATTTTGAGCCTTTGTTTTACGGAGAAGTTGGTTTCTCGACAATGGGCGAAAATATTTCGTTAACTAAAAGACCTGAGGAGTCGATGATATGACCGGATAATAGGATAGACCTTTCGTCGCAGATAAAGGGGTTTACATGACACGTATGCTACTGTTTACTACATAATTACAATGACCGATTTTCAATAAATCGCGCCATTAATAACTGAACCGTGTCTTGCGAACAATCCTTGTTGAGCTTACACGAGGTTTATCGTGTCAACTGTTGTCCTGTGTCAATGTAAGCTCAACAATATAAACACATGTTGATTATTATAGTAACGAGATTAAATGATGGTCGGTTTTAAAGTCTTTGTTGAACCAACGGGAGTTAGTTATTGATCGTTCCGCAATTACGATGGCTGAGGTTTTCGCGATTTTGCCCTCTACAGAGCTTAGACATCTTATACACCCGTATTTCATTACTCCAAAAACCTATCTATTAAGATTAACTAAAAATTCTAGATTCTTTCGATGAGCTAGGATTTTATTAGAACTAGGTGATACTAACTGATGAACAATAAAATATGGGTGAAGGGATCTAAACTCCGAAGAAGGTGAAATCGCCAAAACGTCAGCCACCGTAGTTGAAGAACAAGTAATGGCAACCCGGCGATAGCTCAACAAGGGTCGCTCGTAGGATATTTTCTATATGTCACTGCAGTCCACCATAAAACACACTGCCGTCAGCAACGAGCTTAGGTTGTGCGTGTTCCTGTATCTTCTATAACCGATCTTCCCACAAGATAATTATTAGTGATTGAAAAGGAAATCACTATGGGCTACAGACCAAAGAACCTGTCGTGATCTGTACGCTGAAGGAAACAGCACAAAGTTTTTGCATCGAAATCAATACGCGTAGTACGCAGTGCGCCAACACACGATATTGAAATCAACGTGCTTAGCTGCAAAAAATGTTAAGGAACTGTGTCTGTTGTGCTAGAGAAACCACTCTCCACCGAGAATTCTATGAAGCTCAAGCAACTGTATTAAGAGACATAGATACTCCTCTTATTAAATTTATCCCACAAAGGCTTCTAGTGACAACAGCATCATCAATCTAAGAGCCTACATGAAACAATAAATTCATGACTTGTAGCTAAGCCAAACTAATTTTAGATACTTTTTAATAATGTTGGTAAAATTTTAATATAGGGTATAACTATTAAAACCTGTAAATGTGAAGGTACCATCACAATTCCCAATATTTAGGAAAGAGGGCTGAATATGTCAGAAGATACTTTAAAAAATTCTCACTATTGCACCGTTTCAAAACACTTCCAATTTCCAATAAGGCTAGAGCGTTTTTAGGGTCACGTATATGGTGCCAATGCTAACAGTCTCCCACATAGCGATCACAGCTTCAACATACTTGATCACGTTTGCAGCGATTGAGAGGTAAAACGAGTCATACAGTAACTCCACACATAATCATCGCAATTCAAAAAACTTATTCTCAAATAATAATTATAATCAAAAATACGAACGTTGGAAAGACAAGGCGAACTTTTAACTATTTCTTAACGGCGGAAAGTGATGATAAGGAATCATTCCGCCATTCCTAATTTCGGTAGAAACACTTGTTGTTGAAAACATTTACCATTTTTCCCATGAAGAGCACTTTAATAACATTTTTCCCACTAGGTTTCTACACGTTGTCTATTATTTGATAACATCAATAGTTCTCAAATGAGAAATAAGTTATTTCAACACATAGTTTGCCGCAGAAAGGCTGACGTTTCGGTGGATTTTGCCTTCTTCAGAGCCTGGAAAGGCCAAGTTTACTGCAATCTAGCCGTCCAAACACCTCCATATTTTCTTTCATTTAATACGAACGACCCCTCTTCACGTTTACTGTGCGAATTCCTGCACTTATAAAATTCGATTCGTTTTTTGGTATCCATCATCCACCAAGGCCTTCCAATTTCTATGTGGGACTTCGGCTACTGTTAGAGGATTTTTCATCTTTCCTTGACTGTCGTAGGACACTGTTCAAGCTGTCTCTCACTGGAGCTCAGAGATAGCCGAGCTGGAGCTTCCCATTTGGCATTCGGAGAGTGGTTTTTTCCTCGGACAAGTCTTGTACCAATTTCGCAGCCTCGGAGGAATGAGGGGCTTAGCGAACTTAGACCAGGATCGAGCCGGCATAGTGCTCGTGGTGACCTACATCACTACCACTGTGCTATCCGCTTCTGACACCATAATCAAACAAAAAAAGTGCTACCCCAAGATTTCAATCGCACTGAAAGCAAATTAGCTTCTTCGTACAGTCACCGCTTTCCATAAGCCTTCCTTCAAATCAGCCACAGTGATGCTGAGATATTTGCAAAATTCCGGACTGCAAGTGTCTGCAGTGGAGAACGAAGTCGTCAGTATCCTTTCAGGAGATAACGTGTCACTACCACACTATGCGGGTTCATTGCTTCGTCTTTCTCTCAGCTAGTTTTTTATCTAGCAGTACCATCGGCAATCACCCATAAATAGGATTTACGTGGGAGCACAAATCGGTATTGAACCCAGTTAAGCCGAGGTTGCACTCAAAATCACAACGTCAACATTTTTATTTACTTTCTACTACAATTTTTCACGGCTGGGTACTATGTGAAATTAAACCACAATGTTGCTGAGATATTTTCAAAATTCCAGACAGCAGGTGTCTGCGGTGGGGAGCGAACGCACTATTATCCTTTCCGGGGAGTAACGCGTTCACCACCACACTATGCGGGTCCTTTGTTTCGCCTTTACCTCAGCTAGTTTTCTATTTAACAGGGTCGTCACCAATCACCCATCAACGAGTTTGATCTGGGGAGCAAAAATCAGCGTTGAACCCAGTGAAGCTGCACCTATATCTTCCATTGATTATTTCGAGGGAAGATCAACCGCACAGAGAGCTCACCTGGAAGCTTAATGTGACGATCTAGTAATAAAGCATCATTCTTAAATACTGCACGAGATAACGTGTGATAATGAAGCAATCCTCTCTGCTTTTCTCTGGAGTCTTGGAGTTTATCCAGAATGCTTCGAAAGTTTTGTTCTCTGAAGTTTTTATTATTCTATACAGTAATATATAACGGGAAGAAATATATTAAACGTAGAACACGGAAATAACCATTTTGGAAACTTGACGTTTATGTAGACGGCACCGTTACAGGTACTGCATCACAGTGAACAGCAATAAGGTAAATTTCCTCCAGAAATATCGCAGAGCGCTTGCATTCATTGCGGTTATGGCTGGTGTTGTCAGTAAGGGCACGATTCTGAAGGAAGTTACGGTAATCCTTGCAATTCATTGTATTCCTTTAATATTAATTAGCTATGGAGAATTAACGAAAAAAGTCTATGTACCAGATTTTCTTCTCGTAACAAAGTTTTTAAGAAAAAAATGTATATCAGTTGTCCGTGTCTGTTGCGTATTTCCGTTTTTCTTTCTTTTTTTGCATGAAGTAACTTCAAAAGTTCTACAATATCTTCTCAGGTAATAAATGTCTGCAATCTTAGACTATAGTTCGTTTCTTATAAGAACCTATAGAATTTCCCTGGTTTCATTACCAGCGTCCGTCATCTGGTCCCACTGTTGTTATCTTTTCCCATGGTATGTGACCTCATTTGTGCTTCCCTCCTCATGTATAAGTATCGCTGATTCTCGAATATGTATTCTTCGATGGCTAGTTTATGAAATCTGGGTTAATTCTATGTATTCTAGTTGTACCACATGACACTATTCAAGCGCTCTAAGGGTGGTAGAAAAGATTCTTGGCGTGATTGTGGTGATCATCCACATTTTGGCTCCATAACAGATCACTGCCGGGACTGTTAAGTCAAAAACGCAAATTTCGGGTCTTCATTTGAAGTTGACAGTGAAGGCCCGGAGGCAGCTTATGGCCGTTCTCTGCACTTTGCTTTTCTTTATCAGTTTCAATTTTTATGGAACATTCTATGGGTACAAAGAATGTTGCCTTCGTATTCGAAATCTATCCACTGGGACTTGTTCCGCACTGCTCTGAAGGTTCTTCACCTACATAGCACAGTCGATTTTTTCGTTATCGTACTATCTCCTCCCTTACTGATTGAGCTTTTTAATACCATCTGAATTCCTTTTTCAATAGTGGTGATAGAAATGTTCCTTTCATCATAACTTCATTATCTAGCGCACAACAGAGTGAACATCTTTGAAGAGATCGTGTCACCGTAGAGCCATACTATTTTCTATTGGGATGATGAACAAACGAGAAAAAAAGTGGCATGTCGTGGTGCTGTTGCTAAACAAGTCAAACAGTTTTTTATATATAATAGGACCCTGTGTCTTATTCGATAGGCAATGATAGCACGTCGTTTCGACGACCTCTGGGAATGTTAGAACACGGCGTAAGTGCGACCCACGAAAAACCTCAATGACCGATTTCAATGTGGTTTATACGGCAGAATGTTGAATGGATTTCTGCTTCTTCAATTGTACAGGCTTCATTGAGTTCCGTGGACGACGAGAAAGGTCGCTGCACACGTTAAACGAGTAAATAATCATTCCTTGGAGATCACATTAAGTATCTCCTCTACTTAAATATCAGTGCACTTTTTCTCCATAGGTTACTCTTATGGAGGACCCTGGTTGTAAACTTCGTCTCGTTTGCAGTGATTCTTTTCGCTGATGAAACAATGGAAGTTGAATGGACTAATACATAACGGTCTTCTAGCGTCTAGGACCTTCTCTGCACGACGCAAAGTTTTCAGCTGACATAGGCGTACCAGCTTTTGCCGACAAACGCTGTTATATAGACATGTATATATATATATATATATATATATGTATATATACATGTATACACAGATGTAACGGTATATATATACAACACGGTATATATGTGTATATACATATAAATATATATATATATATATATATATCCTTCCAGGCTATGAATAAAGCGATGCGGCCGGTTCGTCAGCTACTGTTGTGTTGTATGTGTTTTCATGCGAAAGTAGACGTGCGCTGCATAGCAACGTCACGATTGCTAAAGAAGAAAAAGAAAACAACATATTCATATTCTTTATGCTTAGGAGAGTAGAAAATCTATTTTGGTAACTACATATTGGAGATCAAAAAGTTTTATGATGGCTTTGAAAGGTGTAAATGTTTGATTTTTCTCTGTATTGCTTGGTCCAGTCCTATAATTCATTACGCGGCCCATCATCACATCTACTGTGCGGATCTCATCACTTCTTGTGTCAGATTCGTATCCATGGTATTCATCACCCACGAAGGTCTTCGAACTTTTCGCATGTGGGTTCGGCTGCTTCCGAAACATTGTCGTCGTCTTTACCAATGTTATTAAATGATGGTCGAATCGATTCTGCTTGAAGACCCGAAATAGTTGGACTAGAGCGTTACCAATTAGATTACAAAGAGTGGACTGCTCTCAGACAAGTCTGGTACCAATTTCTCGATTCCGGAGGAATGACAAGCTAGCATTGTGCTCGTGATGAATCGCATCACTGCTCTTGCGCTCCCTATCTAGGCTTGTAAACTTCTTGTAAAATTTCTACTGCTTGAAAAGTACTGGTGTGCTTAAGCCGTGATTTGGGAAAGTAGCAAGGAGTAATCAGCATTTACAATTTATGGTTAGTAATCGAACGGATCTGCCGATATTACTATCGTTCATCGCTAGAACTATCTTCTAATAGAAAAATTTACGATACAATGATTGTAAACCTGAAGTATATTACTCAATGCATTTCGGAGCCGGTGGAAAAATAAAGCTGACATTTTTACCGTATGCAAGCGATCGCACCGCTGTTCAGAGCGTTTCGTACCGATTCTAACGTAGTAGGTAAGTTAACCCTCCCAACCGTTTACCGCTTCATCGTGACAGGAAGGTCTTCTTGGATGTCGAGCTGCGATGGAGGAGGATTCATCCTTCCAGCAGGATCTGTCAAGTTGAGAAGGGATCCGGAGCTTCCATCAGGAAGCCTAGCTAAGAGTAAGCCAGTACCAGGATCAATCACCATCTCGGTATCAAGCCAGTCACATGGTGGCAAATCTCCATCTGATCCACTAAGGCAACGGCTGCCTGTGGTGCTGGCGACCTTGTGCAGACTTTGGCTAGGCTGACCTCGGAACACCAGGGAACCACAATGGCCAAGCCAGCAAAAGTCCTAAATGACGGAAATTATGCTGGGGCCTGAACAATCAGTGAAAACGGGCTATCCAAGTATTCAAGTAAGTAATTAAGTTAATCAAACTTTGAAAAACCATTTTGAAACTGTAGTAGTTGGGTAATGAATACAGGCTGGGGTAATAAAGGAAAAAGGATGTCTGTTAAATGGACATAGTTTATTTCTTTGCAGATCATCACAAACACGGACTGCATTGGTGGATTAAACGAATGGTCTGTGAAGCCATCCGATTTGCTCATAAAACATGAGTTGTTTAACAAAATATGGCGGTTTTACTTTAGGTAGAATGATCATTTTAAGTAATAAGTCAGATAAGCTGATTTGCCAGTGTTTTCCAGAAATATATTCACAATTTTGGCGCCTTTCTTCATCCTTCTCTACCTCAACGCAGGACTCATTTACAGGTCCGTTAAGCTCGTTTAAGCTTACAACAATTACAGTAGGAAAATAAGTTGCGTGTTCTTCTTGTAACCTCCTGTGGGCATAACTATTGGTTCTGCTAATCAAATATACATGTGATCTATGTTCGTCCTCGTTGATTCGGAATTTCGAATCAGTAATAAGAAAAACTTTCTGGCTCCGCTCTTTACAAACAACGATGGAAGGAAATGATAATTTCATGGTTTAGTTTCTTATCAGGGAATTGTCACATCGATTCCAAATCTTGGTTTAGTTTTGTTGAACTTATCATAGTTTTAAAATTGGTTAAAGTGCTATTGTAGTCTGGAAGGGCTTAGTGAACGTATGATAGCTGTGAGAGGGCTATTGCAGTCGCTCCTTTGAGAACATAAAATATCAGCGCCTCTTTAAGTACTTTACAGTGCAATATATATAAACCAAACGTGTGAGTTGCTGATTTTTCTTCTTTCCTTCATCATTCAATTTAACTACGAGGACTGTGAACAAAAATATATAGATGGATGATTCTGCACTGAACAGTCGGAGAAACCAGCATTGAAGGAAAATACTGTTTGTCTAAGTAGGTTCTGGCTTGAAGTAACCAAAAAAGACTACTTATTGCCAATGTTGAAGGTTGACAAAGATGGAGTGAACGGATTAAATGATTGCACACGCTACATTGTGACTCCAAAAGTACGATTCGGACCGAAATTGGCCTTTCGAAAAGCTGACACAATTTCAGTATTGAAAAGTGTGATTCTTAGCGACCAAGTTTCCATCTCTTTTACTCAATTCCCTCTAGCCGTTATGTAGAATGATTGCGAACTTCAGCTTCGCAAAGTTTCTAAGCGTACAAGGATAATTCAGAAGCTTTGCTTCGGGTATTGAAACAGAAAATCCGCCCAAGTTTCCAGCAACTTGTTGGACACTTCACTTATATATAATTGGAAAGCCACTTTTTTAAGAGCTATTAGTACATCCTTAGATTTTCTTGCACAAATTTGTCACCTATTGGTAAGCTGATGGATGCTTGATACTTGAATGGCAGCCACTCGTCATTGGTTGTACGGGAGCCAGCAAAATTTCCACTTTTCGGCGTTTTGCTGGTTTAGCCATTGCGGTTTCCTAGAGTTCAGAGGTCAGCCTTGCCAAAGTCTGCCCCTGATCGTTACCACGCCATGTCGCCATCGTGGATCAAAGGGAGATTTGCCACCATGCGACTTGTTTGGTGCCAGGACGATGGTGGATCCTGGTACTGATTTATTCTTAACTGGTGATTTATTCTTTGTGGAAACGCCGAACTCCTTCTCAGGTAGTGAAACCCTCTCGGAGGATGAATCTCCCGCTGTAGATCGCAGCCTGACACCTATGAGCACCTCCCAGCCGCGGTGACGCGGTAAACCACTGGGAGTAAGCTAATAGAAAATTGATAAGAAGAAAAAACTCTGAAGTGTCCTAATTCGAGTTGATGAACAATGAGGAAAAAATAACCATGAGTCCTTCCAAGCTACTGCCTTTGCAAAATATTTTCATAATTACGATTTTCTGAAGAATGGAGGATGTGGCTTACTGGTAGTTCCTAGAAAGGAGTAAGATAATCAAAATGCCTTATACTATCACCATCTAACACCTCTATCGGGAACGAAACATCGGAAGCTTCATAACAATAGAATAGAGCGTTCGCTTCCAATTGGATAATTGCGCATACCACGGTAGTGCTTCTTCAGAAGTCCACTAGAATTCTTTTCGGTGCTATTTGGACTTCGAGTTAATTAACACCTATGCTCGCATTCTAATGCCGTTTTTGGGTTATATTAAATAATGGTGACGAATTAGCATTAGGTGGGTGGGATAATAGACACTTACTATCCACAACGATCCTCTGACAAGTGTTTACCACAGATAGCACTGTGGTAGTGATGCCTGTCATCACGAGCGTGGTGTTAGTTCGATTCCTTTCAGGGCCAACCAAGCCTGTCATCCCTCTGGGGTCGGAGAGTTGGTACCAGACTTGTCTAAGAAAAAAAATCACTCTTTGCAATCCAATTAGATCGCTCCAACCCGGCTATCTCAGGACTTCAGAGTGAATTGCTCGACTAGCATTCTACAACATCCAAGATGAAATGAAATTCCTCCACCACCAGCCGAAGCCACACGTAAAGTTGAAAGCTCTTCGTGGACAATGGATGCGAGGAAACGAAACAAATGTGAGAAGTGTTGGGATCCGCACAGTAGACGTGAAGACGAGCCAAAATAAAATAGAATTAAAATAAAAGTGGTGGCGAATTTGAAGTATTACTCCATATTCTTAAAAGGTAGCAGTTTCTGCCTAGATTCGTATCCAAAAGTTTACCAATTTTTAGGACAAAATTGTTAAAAAGATGGAGGATACATAACCGATCAGTTAGGACCGGAACAGTGCCCATTAAGCTTCAGCGAAGTGGTGTTCATTTGGCTGTTGCCCCTCTCAATTTGAAATATACGATGACAATAGGGAAAAAGGTCAGACAAAGGCAGCCAGAATTTTTGGCATATCTGGCACCAGAATCGGTTGCTGGCTGAAATAACCTCAGAATCTGATTCGTTTCGATTTTGTCTTGAACATCAGAATCGCAACTAAATATTTCTTCGATGAAGCCCTTTGAAAAACGCAAGAGAATGAAGACTGGAATCTTGCTGCAGTCAATTCCACATTGCTATTCTTCATCGTTGCAGTCGTGTTTGTGCTCATTAGATTCCCATAAATTAGGGTAATTAAAAGCGCCGTTGAAGATCACGGAAATATTTGTTAAAACCTTTTCCTTACTATTTCAGCCTCCTACTTTTTGTGCCAATGTATTTGTTTAAGTAACCATAAAATTTCTCGGACCTCATCACTCAATCCTCATCAGTAATAGAGCTTTCATTACATCGGAAGTCTGGCCCAAGCTTCACGCAGGAGTTGTCAGCACTTCTTTGAAAAATGACAGACCTTTTCAAACTACACAAACTACAAAGAGGATCGGAACCCTTTTCATGGATGGGATATTTATACTAAGATTTATTGGGCTTAAAAAACAATTCGTGCCATTGTAAATATCCATGGAAAATCTGAAAAGCAGTTGTTTATGTAAGGTGTTGATCTACAGTACAATCACCACCATTAGCTATCACATTCTAGCAAAGCACTAGAAAGCAATCATTGATCACCATTTAGAACTCGAAAGACCAGGACCTGAAAAAACATCTCGTTTTCTTCTTTAGCTTATAACTGGTCCTTAATGTTCTTTTCGTAGAACGTTTATTTGGATCCCCAGGAAAGCTAGTAATCGCTGCTTGGGCAGCAGAAACGTGCGATTACTTCCTTCCCTTCCAAACATGGATAGTGCATGCTGAGTTTCATGAGATGCGAGGAAGCATTGTCGTGTAGAACGCAACTCGCTCGTTTGGCACGAAGGATTTAGACTCTTTTAGGCTTATATAGTAAAAAATTTTACTCTTCTTACTACTTTGGAATATTCAACACTTTCCAGTTAAAAGTCCTTGGACAATGGCAAACTACGACATTGTGGTCTCCAGTTCTCAAGAGAAAATAAACTTCTTATCTCAATTGGCAGTCCTCGAAGACGTACAGTTATTGGGTCGTTTTCGACGAAGTGAATGTTTACAATCTCAAAACTATTATGGGAAAATTTTTAAAAAAAATTAACTACTTTCCTTTATGTTGGTGATTAACCAACCATCATTATGAAAAATGTCCCACAATCCCCCATCACCCTAAATGAAAAGCTATTCAGATTAAAACGGATGTCACATCTAATAGAAGTTAAGAACACTGCTGTTCCGTGGGGCCAGCGTTCCCCGAGCTACTTATCAGTGGAACTTCTCACATGAAGAGACTGAAGTATTTAAAATCAAACCGTACTAGAAACGATCGGGAGCGACCAAATCTTCAGTCATGCGGAATCTCACGTGTGTTTGACAGAAATGGTAAAATCAATGTAGTCTGCGAACTCATACTGCACTATGCTCAAACTCAACTACAACACGGCTACAACATGATGAGGCAGACTATTCCGTAAGCGGTTATTCAAGCACAATTTACCCTCGCGAGAAAAATCGACGATGATGCATTATTCATCCAGTTAAGGAGAAACAGGGGAGTACAAAAACTAAGCACCTTGATTGGTGGATTTAAAGAAAACTATGATATTCAGGCGCGATTTCTTTACAGGATCACTTATTTGTAAAAATTCTTCGGTGGAAACAAGGGCCATTGCTAGAGATCAGCTTCCTTATTTAAAAGTTTGCCAAAATGTTGTTTATCTTCCGTAGTCTATATTCTGTGAGTATATTCTCTTCCCAACGGTTTACTGCGGCATCTTGGCTGGGAGGTGTTCTTGGGTGGCAGACTGCGACCTACAGCGGGGGGTTTCGTCTTCATGGCAGGGTCTCCCAAGCTGAGAAGGAGTTCGGCGTTTCCATCAGGAAGCCTAGCTAAGACTAAACCAATACCAGGATTCCCCACTGTCCTGGTATCAAAGTCGCATGGTGGCGAATCTCTCTCTGTTCCGCAAGGGCTCCGACTGCCCGTGGTGGTGAAGACCTGGGGCAGGCTTTGGCCAGGCTGACCTCGTGATTCCAGGGAACCATACTGGCTTAACCAGCAAACCTCCGAAAAGTAGTGATTATGCTGGAGCTCGCACAACCAGTGAAGACTGGCCGTCCAGGTATCAAGTAAGTATATTCGTTTTCTAGTGAAAGGACGTCATTTACTAAGCAGTTCACCGATTGGTGCATCACCAGAGTGTTACTTCCTATGTAAAAACACGAAGAAATATTGCTTTGCGTTTAGTAAAATTTCGTAGCATTTCATGTGAAAATATCAAGCGTTCTTTCAATATTTCGCGTGAAGCAGGAAGCTTTTGGCTTAGTTACCTCGTCGTACAGCAATTGCCTCATTTCTCACACTCTTGGTTCTTTACTCTTACCTGTCACCTCCACCACTATCAGTGTCCTATCCAAGACCATATAATCTCCCATTTATATTTAATTAAGGACAACAGGCCTACAACGTACATAGATGCGATCCAAACCATTCATAAAAGGAGACATCCTACGTCAATATTTTTCCACAAAGTTGATATCGAACGGTTTTGAAAACAGTGCAGGCGTTGTCTGTTCAGAACTCCTTCCTTGCTTCTCGTTCGCATGTTGTCTGAGTAACATCGAGTACACGTTATAAAAAATTTGAGGCTATAAAGGCTTTTCTGCAGTTGCCGCATTTAGCGTTTCGCAACACTTTCAACGATCGACCTCAAAAGGCAGAAGGACTGTTTACACATACGCGTCTACATTATTGAATAATTAGGTTAAAAACCTCTATCCCCGTGATCAAGAAAAGAGAAAGAAGTTGGTATATGCAGTTCTTACAAACTCTCCTTGTTGACCTGACGCTAGATTGGTGTCTTTTTCTTGTTGTTGCTGTTGTTACTCCGGTGGTCGACTTTTGGGCTACGTCGCATTCTTCAGTCTGGGTGTATGTTATGTAACGCTATCACTACAATTCGGTGAACCATCAATAGTAATTATGAAGATCTATTATAAACATGAAGCTTACTTTGCTTAGAAGCTATTCACCCTGCTGCTGCTTGCGGGATCACCCGTCCGTTGTTCACGTGGGTTCACGAGTGAAGCCCATCCAGATTAAAAAATCATCTGCTTCATCAAAAATCATTAGCCATTGACTAACAACAACAACGACACCTTAAACCAACCCGTCCCAACCAACACTACGTCCTAGTTAACGATTACACGCAGTATATAAGAAGGAA